AGCGGAGGCTGGACTCAAACATCTCCGACCCCCGCTTCCCCTCGCTTGCTGCGTGCTGAACAAATGATTCCACCCCTTTTATCTTCATCTTCTTCATGCATAAAACGGGAACAGCGGCACCTGCGTCACGGTGCTCAGGGAAACGAGTTAGAGCGACACAAAGCTTATATCCTCATCAATGCCCAGGACGGGGAACTTTCTTTTCTCCTCCTAATTTTCCTTTCTTTCGTGTTCTCTTTTGCTCAAAAATTATGATGCTTGAGGTCGCTTATGAAAATTTCTGTTGGACCGATTGTAGACATCGTCCGCTGCGATGGTTTTGCACTGGGAGTGGGGCCACGCAGGGCTGCACTTTTCCTAATTGGTCCTTAAGCACCGAGGGGCTGTCTCCTCTCCAGATTGAGGCCAGTATGTGACAGACGTACTGAGAACGTGTAGACAGTGTCCCTGTAAAGCCCCTCAAGTCCTCTCCGTGTCACCCCGTGGCGCCCCACCGTCTCTGTGTGGGCTTGTTCTTCTATGCTCTCTCTCTCTCTCTCTCTCTCTCTCTCTCTCTCTCTCTCTCTCACACACTCACACACACACACACACACACACACACACACACACACGGGGCTCTCCTCTCTCCTTTGAGTGTGCTCATTTACACAACGCGCAGGCTCCATAGTTTGCTTTTTTAAAATGTTGCAAAGCATAGCACAGAAGCATTGACGGGTTAATACACACAGATTTAATGCATTCTTTCTAAAGGCTGTCCGGAGCGTATCCAATCATCTCTTTATTGATGTCCGTGCTCTCGCTGACTTAGAAATTACAACAAACACCTTGTATGCAAACCGTATAGCTGGGCTTCAGGGTTTCCAGGAATCGGAAAGGTCTTAGTTGATAAATTGTGAGCAGTGATGGCTGAGGTGATTTCTCCCCCGACAAGCGTGGCAGGTGTTTATCGGCCGAGGGGTCTTGTTCTTTGATGGCTTGGAACGCTCCATCTTTTAACTCCATACGACCCCTGATTATCTTCCGCGGCCACAGCTTTAAACTGGTCCTAGGACTCTGGGCAGATTCGGGGACGGGCAGGTTAGAAGAAAGGATCTGTCTTTGAAATGTCAGCCTGTCGCTCCCTGCTGACAGCCTACCTGTGTTTCTGGGCTGAGCTTTTAAAGTCTTCTTTAGAACCTCTGGGTGGTCCCTGCATCTGTTTTGAGAAGGATAAAGAAAATTTCCTAAAAGTAGTGACTAATGCCCCAACAAATTTATTCACAAGTCACTGTACGCCTTAATGATACTTTATGGTGCACCTCGATAGGCTATAACAACACTTTTTGGCGATTTCCTTTTCCCATGACAGCCGTGGTGAGGGGAATTCATGCCTGTGAGTTTGTTGCTCCTCTCTAGCTCATGTGGATCCTGCCTGGATCTGTCCGCTTTTCACCCAAAGCAGGCTAACTTTATAGATGAGAGAGGTTTATCAAGCTCGGAGGTGTGGCTGCCGGATGTCCAAAGAGTATGGTGTCGGCTCTGAAGAGGGTCACCCTTGCGGGAGTCACCTCGAGGCAGCTTGGGGGCGGGGTCGGCGGGGAAGGAGAGACTGCCTTGCATAACCGGAAGTCGGAGAGAGCCTGAGGTCTGACCGTCTCTTGCAATGGACTTCAGGACGCCCAACCTCCCAGCCCAGCCCTGAAGACAAACTCCCAACACGGGACTTTTGGGGGCACACTTGAACCCCAGTGCTGCTAGAAGTTAGCCAGAGGCACACAGCGCCCAGCCCCCCGCAGTTTCATTGCTCGAGTAGCAGAGCAAGCACTTCCTCCTCCTCTGCTTAGGCGCCCAGGCACCACCCGCGGGACAGCGCTGTGCGACCTTCCCTGGGCTGCCCTTCCTACGCCATGTAGGCGCCAGTCTTCAAAAAAGTGGTTGATTCTTTCTGCTTATGTTTTCACGTAGCCCTTGATGTTACAAAAGAACAAATTGTATTTGAAAGGGGTGGCCAATGTTTCCTGTGATCCAACGTCATGTGTGAGCCATTGAGTTTTTTTTCTTTTTTTTTTTTTTGAGACAGAATCCCACTGTGTAGCCCAAGCTGGCCTCCAACTCACAGTGATCCTCCTGCTTCAGCCTCCCAAGTGCTAGGTTGATAGGTGTGCACCGCCAAGCCCAGCCACCATTGATTTTGTCGTTGTTGTTGTTATTTTTTTGTGGTACTGGGCTTGAACCCAGGGCCTTCACACTGAGCTAAATCCCCGACTCTTTTAAAACTCTTTCACTGGAAACAGGGTCTTAATAAGTTGCTAAATTGCCTGGGTTGGGCTCAAACTTGTGATTCTTCTGCCTCCCCTTGACCCCTAATACTGAGATTCTGATAATTTTTTTAAAGTGATTTTTTTTGGGGGGTTTGTTTTACTTTCAATATTTTGGAGGTTGCCTGGATACTATTACTTGAGCTGCGTCTTGGGTGATTTATGTTCATCCCTTTGTCTCCTCCTGGGTAAACACAGTCTAATTCCATGAAGTCACCAGGCAAGTTGGGGCCTCTTTCCTCCGAGCCCCAGATCCTCTAGCTATTTCCCCTGGGCCGTCTGCTACACACCTTTCTCGTTTCTAATCTGTGAAGACAGACGCCACTTCTAGCATCCCCACCCTTCTTGGCCTTTGTCCTTGGAGGCCAGAAAGACAAGAACAGCCTTACCAATTTCTGAACAAAAGCCCAGAGGGGAAACTCCGTGAGCACATCGGCGCCTCACCCGCTTCTCAAGCACGAGTCCAGCCCGAAGAAAGACCTGCGTCTTCTCAGTTAGTAGCTGGCTGGAGACCTGGACATTAGAGTTTCAAAAGAAATATTTTTGTTGCACAGTTCTAAAGTAATTTTAGGACCAGTAACAACATTATGAGTACTCCATTCTTAGTATTTTATTCAGTACTCTAAATAAATTCCATGATCCTAAATGGTTCAATAGTTTCAGTATTAAAAATTGAATTTGCTCTGAATGACACATTGGTGTCTCTTGGTGTCTGTCAGCTGGATTTTTCTGTATTTGTGAGTAATCCTTTAGTGCAAATGCAACATTCCTCTTGATTTTTTTTTTTATAAATTTGTCTAGGCTTGAACTTGGGATCCTCCTGCCTCAGCCTTCTGCTGTGTTGGGATGACAGGTATGCACTACATCTGGCTATAAACACAGCATTCTAACACAGGCCAAGGGAAACAGAGTAAGGGGGTCTCACCTCTGGATTATTTTTAGAGTAGCTTTGTATCTGTGTCTTAACAAGAGGGTGCTAGTGGCATAAACATAGGTCCCAGGCAGCTAAAGAGTGGCTCCATGTAGATCCACGGAGCCTTTCTTGATACAGCCATGCTGCCCCAAGGCTGGGGGGCCGCACCAAACATTTCCATTGCTACAAAAGCAATCAGACTGAATCTGGTCTTTCATGTGCTTAATTTCATATATTTTAATGGGAGGGAAGCACTGAGGTTTTATTGGTTTTTTTTTTTTTTTTTTTGTGGTTTTTCTCCGGTACCGGGAACCGAACTCACGACCTTGCGCTTGCTAGGCAGGCGCTTTTGCCACTGAGCTAAATCCCTAGCCCAGCACTGAGGTTTTACATGCACTGTGATGATGTGTCAAGGGCATGTTCCACCGAAGACAACATTGCATGTTTTTGAGTAGTGATTTTATGCTTAGCTGCAACTTAGCTCTCTGGTTAGCGATTGAAGACGTTGCCATGTACCCAGAGGTTCATTTCTGCGCTTCAATCAGTGTGCCTAGAAGTGGAAACATACAGTCTTTGGAGAGTTAAGATCGGAAATTCTCATACGGCTTTTGTTGGCTTTATGTTTGAATGTACAGATTACACAAATTCTGTTCAGGTTTGCCTTTTCTTTTCTTTTTTCTTCTTTTGAGATGGAGTCTCACTATGTAGTTCAGGTTGGCCTTGAACTCACTACATAGCCCAGGTTGGCCTCAAACTCCCAAGCGATCCTCTTGCCTCAGGCTTCCAAGTGCTGGGATTATAGGCGTGCGACACCACACCTGGCCCAGGTCTATCCTTTTCTAATTTTAGATTTCCCTTTTTATGCTGTGTCTGTGCTCTCTTCCTGTGGAGCTGATGCTCTGACTTGAGTCTTGATGTTATGAAATTCCTTGAGCATGAATGTCTTTGTCTAGCTCGGCTTGGTCATAATTCTGGATTTTCCTGAGACCCATACTACCCCCTGCCCTACTTTAAGGGGCTGCATCCTCCAAGCAGAACGAGGTGGAGCTATGTGGCTTCAGAGCCACTGCAGATGTGACCATCTATAGGGTAAAAGACCAGCAGTGGACGGTGGGGAAAAGAAACACCAACATGGCCTGGTGACACTATTTAGCTGGAGTGGCAAAGGAATCAGAACCGGGCATCTCCTTTCTTTGGGACATTCAAAGTCTTAGGAAATCTGGCACCGTCTCTCGCATCTATCCTTGTTCCACAAGGCACTTCACTTGGCCCGTCTCCTAAATGTGCTGCGAACATGTCCTGTCTGATTCCGCGACACTTCTGACTAATATTGGGAAACACGGATTCCTGTCAAAGCCTTTCTATTCTTTGCAATCTTCCTTACTTTATCTTTCCTCCCCATCTACAACGTCAGCGTCTCGGAGTGAGAGGTGGATCTTATATTTCTTTTTTATCTGATGAAATACTTTGTTCAGGGCTGGATGTAAAGAAATGAGATTTTAATTAATTATAAGTGGATTATGCAAATAACCTTAGCTGAGCTGTGGGCTATATTGTCAGGGACACTGAAGTCTCCTCTCAGTTATGACGTCATTCCATTGTTGTGCGATGTTGTTCAAAACACCCACATAAAGTGGCTATCATCTGCAGTTTCCGAGGATGAGAAAATGTAATGATGAATTAATATTAGTAATATAACAATGAAGCTATGTCATCATTGATAACTGCATTGCTAAAGCAACCGTGGAGACAAATATAGTCATAAATTATAATAAAAAACCCAGAATGAATTTGTTGGTTTGCCAAAGTGAGTTTACTGAAGCATAGACACGGTTAGAACAAAAGTTGTCATTTCACCGTTGCAGAGCATTTACTAAGAAAGCGAGAGTGTGGGAAACACGGGCCAGGTGTCTATTCCTGGGCTGAAGATTTTCCCTGGAGGAATACGGAGAGGCGATTCACTGCGTCCTTCTGGATCTTTTCTCTGAAAGACACTGCCATCGTTGACCTGAAAACTGCCTACTTGATTTTCACCTCTGAAATGCTGCTGACTTGGGAGGAGACGACTCTGCCATCCACCACCTCTTCTATGATGGTCTTCGTCACTCTCGTCTTGCTAGGATCTGAAAACCAGGGGGTCACGCTGTCAGACGGGAAACTGTCACAGACATACAGGTGAAGAGAAATCCCACAACACGCACTGAGCATCTTCTCTCTGGGTACGACCGTAGAAACAGTGACCCGCCCAGCGTGCCTGCGCTTTTAAAATGCAAAATTCTCAGCAGCGCTAAAAAACGCCTACCTCTTTCTTGGCTGTCAAGTCTTGAGTTGCTCCATACCACGTCCCTGGATCTTTCAAAACCAGAGCCACTGGGGGAAACAAAAAAGATGTTTTTCTTTTTGGTTTGCAAAGGTAGGAGGACCCTTGCAGCCTGGGGCATCTCCGTGACGGGGCTTCGGTGTCCTTTGGTTGGGCTATGCCCGTGGCTTTATTACTTTATACGTATGACCCCAACCTCTGTGTCTCTTCCTGCTCTCACAAAGTGACTTCCCAAGGTGTGCGTTTCAGCACTGGGGCATCACGCACCTTCCCTCTCCGTTGAGCAGGCGGCGGTAGGTCTCGATCTCCACCTCCAGGCGAGTCTTGATGTCCAGCAGCAGCTCGTATTCTCTGTTCTGGCACTCGGTCTCCGCCCGGACCTGGCAGATCTGCTCCTCCAGGCTGCTGATCTTCACCTGAATCCCTGACAGCTGAGCCCCGTAGCCAGCTTCGGTGTCAGCCAGGGTTCTTTGCAGGGAGCTTTTCTAACGGCAAAAGAAAAACAACTTTTGTGATGAAGATAAGTCCCAGTGAAAGGCTTTTAAAAACACCACCATTTAGGGCCAGGGAGATAGCTCAGTGGCACAAGTGCCTTCCTGGCAAGCACAAGGTCCTGAGTTCGATTCCTGGTACCAGCACAAAAGAACACCACTGTTTCACATGGCATTAGAAGCGATCCTGAACCTAGGGGCAGTCTGTATTGTTTTATCATTGCTTTTTTACTTTTTGTTGACATTACCTTTTAAATGAAATCTTATAGGGAGACACAGAGCATCGTCTTCAACTGTTTTATGCTTTCTAGAGCCACAGCACGTTTCTCCTTAGTGCTGCTTTTATGGTGCGGCTGGAGAATGCCTTGGCAAAGCAAGAACTGCATTTGCTGAGCTCCCTGCTGGGGCTTGGGAAAGTTATCCATACGTACCATGGCCACCTGGGACTGAAGCTCGATTTCCAGGGCTTGCAGGGTTCGCTTCAGCTCTGTTATCTCTGTTTTGGCAGAACTGGCTGCCCCGACGTCGGTAGAGATCTGTGCCTGGAGTGACGCGCTCTGGAGGGAGACGCAACGCAGAGTTTGCGGACTGGGGAACGCAGTAGCGGCAGTGGCAGCGGCGGGTCGGGAGGCTGCGGGCTTGGCAAACCTGCTTGTTGAACTGCTCCTCTGCCTCCCGGCGGTTTTGCTCGGCCAGCTGCTCGTACTGCGCACGCATGTCATTCAGCAACTTGGTGAGGTCGGTTCCCGGGGCAGCATTCATCTCCACGGTCACGTCCCCACCCCGGCTCCCTCGCACACTCGTCATTTCCTAGCACAAAGGGGAGGAACAACAGAGGCCACAGGATGCAAATCGGAGAAGCAATAAAAATGTGAAACTGGGACACCGCAAGACCACATGCAGGTAGAACGTGCTCCTTTTCACTCCACGGTCGTCGCATGTGGGACGTGCACAGAGGTAACGCCGAGCGGATCCTGATAGAAGGGATGAGGGGAAGAGCCAGGGTCCTGGTTCATGGGGCGCCTGCCCTCACCTCCTCGTGGTTCTTCTTCAGGATGACCAGCTCCTCCTGCAGGCTCTCGATCTGCATCTCCAGGTCTGAGCGGGTCATGGTCAGGCCGTCCAGCACCCTGCGCAGCCCGCTGATGTCGGCCTCCACGCTCTGGCGCAGGCTCTGCTCGTGCTCATACCTGGAGGGGTGGCGGGCGGGCAGGCGGGGCAGCTTGGTGACCGCTGGACATGGGTCAGCATCCTTCCTTCCTTATACGCGGGGTAAGGCTTCCCCTCCAAGAGTTGTGATAAATGGAGACCCTACCCACCTAAACTAAAAGTCCCATATTGATCCTAATCTTGTCTACTGATTTTATAAGAAATTCTGCTCTAAATTTGCCTCCTTTTTTTTTCTTTTTGTCTTTTTGAGACAGGTTCTTACTATGGAGTTCAGGCAGCCTTGAGCTCACTTTGTAGCCCAGGCTGGCCTAGAACTCACAATGATCCTCCCGCTTCAGCCTCCTGAGTGCCGGGATTACAGGCGTGCGCTGCCGTGCCCGGCTTCCTTTTCATTTTGCAGAACGCTAGGGTCTACAGTTTACCCGATGGGTATTTATGAATTTTTTAAGCAGACAGGTGGAACTGTGCTTTTGTTCACACGTCTCACTTCAGCCTGAAGTCATCAGCAGCCAGCCTGGCATTGTCAATTTGCAAAATGGTCCCAGCATTTTCGACAGTGGCAGCCACGATCTAGAAAAGAGGACACAGTGAGTGGGGGACAGGTGACTTCCACCCCGGGTCCTCAGGCCTGTCGGGGAGGGTGGACATCTCGTGCGCCACTCACTGTGGGAGGTGACTGACTTGCCGACTTAGGAAGGACACTTGTATGCTTTGGACTACAACTTTCTACAGAAAGGATAATAACTTGAACATTTATTGGGATTAGGCCCAGATCCTGGCTTATAGGACTCAGCTCTCTGTGTATTTGCACTTCTCAGAAGGTCAGTTATCCCCTAAGCTCTTTGAGAAAACAGCGCAAATATTGATCTTCACTTCCAGAAAATGTCTTTAGAGTGTATTTCCCGTACAATGGGGGGAAACATTTTAGGTTCTACTGTCTTCTTAGACAATAGTTACACCAGGTTTTCTAGGAAGAAAAATAGTGCTAAAGACTACTCAAAAAAAAAAAAAAAAAAAGAAAGACTACTCAAATCTACCAAGATACCAACATATGCCAACCTGTCAGGATTCATCACAAGATAGATGAACCTAACACAGACTTACAGTCATCATTCTTATATACACCTGTTGGTTAGCTGCCTGGGATTCTATAACTTTTACTGTTTTGTAGAACTACTCAAATCTGAGATTAATGCGGTAGGACACCGAATAAAGGATCACCCACTTTGCATTTATGACAAGCAGCTGTACTTTCAAATAATTCCTGAGTTTCAAATTTTCATTACAGCAGGTGCTGTGAATGAAAGTACAAGATCTAACATGGGAACGCAGCCATGGGCGGGGTCTCACCTGCTTCCTGAGATCTTCGAGTATAGAATAGTAATTGCTGTAATCTCTTCTGGATCCACCATCTCTGGACCCAGGCCCAAATTTGTCATACCACCCCTTGATTTTATTCTCCAGATCTGTGTTGGCTTCCTCCAGGGCCCGGACCTTGTCCAGGTAACTGGCCAGGCGGTCGTTGAGGTTCTGCATGGTCTGCTTTTCACTCCCAGAGAAAAGCCCTCCGTCGCCAACACCACCCTCAAAGCCACCTCCCATCCCACCTCCATAGCTGCAGAAGCCTCCGCTAGCCCCGCTGCTGAAGCCAGAAACTTCAGCGAAGCCAGAGCTCCCGCCAAAATAAGAACCCTTGCCAAAGCCGGCCCCAGAGCCCAAGCCTGCCCCCCACCTGCCCCCGCCGGAGCAGCTCCCGAAACCTCCCCCTTGGGAGCCCCAGGCAGAGTTGCCCCCCAGAACGCAGCTGCCTCTGGCCCTGGAGGAGGAGAAGCTGGCCGGGCAAGACATGCTGATCCTGTAGCAGAGGAGCTGTCAGGCTGAGCGGGAGAGGCGAGGAGACTGGGAGCTCTGGCTTCTGTCCCGCGCTGCCTTTTCGCCCCTTATGTAGCCGCTTGAAGGGCGTTCCCCTTTCTGTCACTTCCTAATCCCTTTTATAGTCTTGCTAATCTGTAATTGGATAATTTCTTTTCCATGAACCCACTCTACTGGCTGTGTTTCTGAAGCCGGGTCGGAGCCCCCGGGCATTCACTCTATCAAGAAAAAAAAAAAAAAAAAGGCGAAACAGAGCAAAAAAAAAAAAATCAGAATTATAACCTTCCAGAGGTTTTGATGACTGGTAATTCTTTTCTGAAAATATAACTCCATTAAATTTGCTTCGTGATTTCTCAACGGAAAGGAGCCTTCCTGGATTATGAGACGTAATTAATGTGATTTCCATGAACCCACTCTACTGGATGTGTTTCTGAAGCAACAACCCAGCCCCCAGTCAATCACCCTATAAAAAAAAAAAAAAAAAAAAAGGCGAAACAGAGCAAAAAAAAAAAATCAGAATTATAACCTTCCAGAGGTTTTGATGACTGGTAATTCTTTTCTGAAAATATAACTCCATTAAATTTGCTTCGTGATTTCTCAATGGAAAGGAGCCTTCCCGGATTATGAGACGTAATTAATGTTCTGGATGGGAGGAGAAGGAAACTTTCCCAACCTGTAACTTTAGGTTCACGTGGCTGTCGGAGCTGAAATGGGCTTTAACATCAGCGTTAATTTCAGACTCAGCTAAGCATCCTTCTCTTCGGTTGTTTCGATTAGCCTATTTTTGGTACTGGGAATTGAACTTGGAACCTTGCACTTGCTAGGCAGGCGCTTGTGCTGCTGAGCTACATCCTCAGCCCAATTGGCCTGTTTTTGAGGCTCTTACATTTTTGTGCTGTTAGGTGATCCATTTCTCTGCCTTTTGAGATCAGATGATATGTTTTCACTGTTCATAAGAAAAACTTAAATAGATGGCAGTCTTTCGTGCAAGTACTACTGGGCTGGAGGGATGTGTTCATTTGAGCAGTCAGTGTCTAAGAAGGGTTGGACAAGTTTTCAAGCGGATCATTTCAGCAACAGATCCGAGTTTGGTGGTAACTGCTATGATGCCTTCCATGTGCTTTTCTTTCTGGTGGAATTCTAGTCTAGTGTAATAACAGCAACTTCCTTCCTCAGAATGAGCTCTCAGGACATGAAGAGATGGTGTCGTTTTCTCCTGTCTTGGTTTTAAAGATACCAGGAGAAGAGGGTGTGAATCTGACTTTAACAGCCCCTGTTGTTTCGGGAGTCATTTCACAGTTGTTCAGACCGGAAGTTTCCTCCAATCTGCTCTTTGCTTGGGATCTTCTGTTTCTGTTGAGAAGACCCTTAGCAAAAAATCTGCATCTACTTGTGAGAACTTGTGTCCCGGCTGGGGTCACAGTATGGATTTTGAAATCTGGAATCTGCTTCATGGTGTTGTTATTCTTTTGTACTATAGCATATCCGCTTTCGTCCCTGCTAGGAATTCCTCTGGTTTAAAAGCGTCTTAAAAGAAAAAGACCGAACAATTCCACTTAGATGAGGCTCCTAGAAACCTCAGCTTCACAGAGACAGAAAGTAGAGTGGTGTTTGCCAGGATCGGGGCCTATGGGCCGGTTGTTTGATGGATGTAGTTTTAGTTTTGCCGTATGGAAAGCTTTCTAGAGACACACAGGTTACACAACAAAGCCAGGATACCTAGGACTGCTGCACTGTCCACTTAGAAGTCACAACGTGATGTGCCCTTTACAGAATGTTTTTGTCTTTTCCAGCACTGAGAACTGAACCCAGGGCCTGGCTTGTGCTAACCCAGTGGTTTACCACTGAGCTACGTCCCCATCCCTATCTTATCATAATTTTAAAAAGATGTCTTTTTAAAGAAATAGTATTCCGTGATGGGAACGTTTTAGAGCTTTCGAGGATACAAACTGCCCCCAGTGGCACGTGTGCCGGAGGTTCGCCACCACCGATCTAGCTGCTTCCAAAAATATTTCTTAGCCTCCTTAGCTTCCTACTCAAGTAGCTGACTTTTCTTTAAAGCTTTCTTCCTTATCTTGGCAGTGTCTGTTAGATCATGTGTGCACTTTCATTTTTACGTTCAGTCCTTGGCCTCCCCATGTTTTTCCCTCTCTTAATCTTGCCTGGAACCGCTTTCATCAGCTCAGGCTATGAAATGTGTAGGTCATTAGCGCTTGCGGTCTACCTGTGCTATTCTGTACTGCGGCAGGATGTTCTTCTGCTTTATATTTGCAGCCATCACCCCACGGGGTACAAGGAGTTTGACAAGCTTTTAAATTCTTGTTCAGCTAGGACTGATTCTCGTGATACCCTAAGGGAGATAAAAATGTTCCCAACAGAATACGTTGTTCATTTTGCCTCGTCCTTTCCCCAAATTACCATCCCAGAGAAGTCTAAACTGTAGTGACCAAGTACGATGTAGGTGCTGGAGCTAGAATGGTCTTGCAGCTTTTCTCCCTCTTAAAATTAGGACGTGGATCCTCTCCCCGTTCAGAAAGGCTGGCATTTGACCAGCTACGAGAAGAGGAACAATCGCGCAAGAAACTGATGGAACTTAAACGGGGCAGAGTTTAGGGGAAAGAGCTGCCTGTGGGAAGAAGGAGACAGAAGGATTTAGCAGTAGCTTTTGTCTCTGAACTTTGCCCGGGGTTCATGGAACTGTCCCTCTGCCTTCATCTGAGGCGTAGGTCTTCCGGGCTGTGCTTCACGATAAGTGAACATTTGGGTCTTCACTGAGAAAGCTTGTGATGACTAAGCTGTTCTATCTTGGTTTGTTTTTTTAGCTTTCTGCTTGATGTAATTTCTAAGATCCATCTCTTCCTTGTTATTTAAATTCAGCTTCAAAGCTAAGGTCTTCTGAGGTGTATCCCTGAGCCTTTTCAGCACTGACTGATGGGAAGGGCATTTAATGATCCCAAAAGCCATTACTGCCTCAAATTCATCGCCTAATGAGTCAGTGTATGAGCACACACGGAGAACAAGCCGTAGGATTTTCTTCTTTGTGCTCGCATTCACGCTTTCTTTCAGTTGAATCTGTGCAACATTTCTCTGTAAATGATGAATCTACCGAACAGACTAATGTTGACTCTACGATTTGCAAATTATCTAGAACACTAGTGTTTAGTGGATGGAAGGATTTTAATCACATGTGTAAATACAATTCTGTGCTTGACAGAAGCTTAAGGATTCTTAGGAAACATGATTCTTCATTGTTTTGTTCTTTGCATTTAATGGTCTCTTTATTTGAAGTTAGGACTTGCCAAAGATAACATATTAGTCCTTGGCGTTTGACTCATCTGTGAAACGGAAGCTTCGAGAACCTGGTGAAGTTCCAGGGGAATAGAATGTTCAGAAGTGCAGGTTTCGGGGCCTGGTGTCCAGAGCTGACTGAAAGATGACGGCCTCCAGGGGATCCACTGAACCCCAGATGTCTGGGCTCTGAGCTCAGTGATCTGCCCTTAGGTATGCGCTACTTCGAGTGATTTGTGATTAACAGATTATTTTGGCCTGTCAAGAAGCAGATGAATTATATTTCATGATAGAATATTTTTGTAATAAGTGCAGAGTAAGTGCAAATCGTAACCATCAATTTTTTTAATGAGATGGATTCCTAGGGTTTTAAAAAAATTACAGCTTGTTTTTAGATTCACAGGAAAATCAAATACTGAAAAGTGTGGTACGTATATTAGTGAGCCTGATGAATGTCCACAGAGTTGAGAATAGAACTCAGGGCTTCCACTCTGGAATACCTGTGTATTCCAGAGAATATCCTAGTAGGAGTTTTTCAAATCAAGGCGTAAGATCAGAATAGTTGAGAGAAGTAACAGATTTGATGCGTGAACAATCTGTTTGCAGTGCCTGACGTATTACAGCTGGGCAATAAATACACACGGGATGAATAATTCTTCTTCTTCTTCTTCTCTGTTTGCAGTGCCTGACGTATTACAGCTGGGCAATAAATACACACGGGATGAATAAAAACCAACATGGGCTGAGCGTGGTGGTGGCGGCGCATGCCTGCAATTCCAGCACTTGGGAGGCTGAGACAGGAGGATCACCATGAGTTCAAGGGCAACCTGAACTGCATAGTGAGTTCAAAGCCAGCCTGAACTAAATAGTGAGATCCTGTCTCCAAAATCAACAAACCAAACCAACCAACCAACCAAACAAAAAAACAAACCGGGGGACCCAAACCACAAAACCAACATAGCTTCATTTGCTGCATTAACAACTTGGCCACTGATTACTTTCAGACTTTCCTATGTGTTCAGTTTTCTGCATCCTTGTTCTCTAAGCTCTGGGTTGGTGATTCTTGTGCACTGGAGGGGAGGGGCTTGCAGTGAGAAAAGGTGTTGGGGCAGGAGCAGGAAAGGTGGTTCAAGAGAATCCGTTGTTTGGTGTCTGGATGGTCACCGGGCTCAACTGCTTGGGAGAACGAGGAGCTCTGCCTTGATTTGTGTCCTGAGAGGCTGTGGCAGTGTGTCTACGACCATCTGTTTGTCTTTCGAGAAAAGGCAAGGATTCATTTTGTTGGTGTATTTTAAAATATTGTTTTTCTAGTCTTTTTTATTTTGAGCTTTATTGTTTCCTAATTTTGAGCTTAGTTTGTTCTAGTTTTACTAGTTTCTTTAAAAAATATTTATGTATATATGTATGTATGTATATGTATGTACGTATGTATGTATGTATTTATTTTCTCTGTGTGCTGCCCAGTGAGGAAGCCCTGAACTCACTGTGTAACACGGTCTGGACTCAAACTTGTGATCCTCTTGCCTCAGCCTTGTGGGAGCCGGGGTTGCAGGTGTGGGCCATCACACCTAGCACTTGTTTTATTAGTTTTTTTCAAGTGCTATTGTGGGTTGTTTATTTGAGATGTTGGTGTTTATTGCTGTCAACTTCTCTCTTAGAACTGTTTTTGCTGTGTCCTGTGGGTTTTGACGTGTTGTGTTTCCATCTCTGTTTTTCTCAAGAAATTTTTTATTTCCTTTTTTCTTTTTTGAGGCAGAGTTTCACTATGTAGTTCAGGCTGGCCTTGAACTCACTGTGTAG